TTCTATTTCCCGCCATGTCGAAACCTTGATGACGGACCGCTTCACTACATGGGCGATACCTTCTTCCTTGTCACGCAAGACGGCCATATCGAGGTCACTTACGCTCCCGTTTCGTCATCTGTCCCGTCCTCCTTCCAATCGCCTTCAAAAGGTCCCGTCCCCATCCAGTCCACTCTCGCTGCGACGTCGGGGTCCGCCAGACCGGCGTTGCAGTTGTACCGCACTCCGCACGAAGCCCACTCCTGGATGTAGTCAGGGAAAGCGCCCAGCGTCAACGGTGGCTTCCGCAGGCGACTCAAGACCGCGTTCGTCGAGTGCATCACATGGCGGCGCCAGTTGAAGGACGATGAACACGCCGCCATGAGAGTCGGCTTCGCCACCAGCTGCGCGTAGTAAGAGGCCTCGTCGGACGAGCGCGCATCGTCGCCTCCCATGCGCATGATCCATATGCACGCCGCGAGAATCAGGCGGAAAGCATCCCCGATTCTGCTAAGTCTCTGGTGTGACAATCTACCGCTGTCCCACCACTGCCTGGCCCGGGGCGCGTCGTGGAAGCATGACGCAAGATGCATCACAGTCGCCTCCTAGTGCGCGGCCATGTCATCGTCCTCCGGCCCATTCTCGATATATGCCCCGGCGAACCACAGTGGGATGTCCATCTTCAAAGCGACCGTATGGTAAACTACGGCGGGAGGCACTATCCTCGACCACTCGAAGCTCTGCCAAACTGCTCTTGCCAGGTCGATGGGGTAATTTGTGGCGACGTACGACTCCGCGCGGGTGAAACCATCGAACCTTGAAGACGACCTGAATATCCACCCGTGGATGACGCGCATTGCCACGTTCTCCGTTCGTCTCGCTCGTCTGAGAGCTGGCTCTCGTTGCGCGCCATCTTTGATCCGCACGCGCGGGACTTCGGGGGGCGGCATCATGAGGCCTTGCGGAGCGCTGGCGCCTGCATCTCCATTGACGATCGCGCAGAAGTAGTCCGCGCAGGAATGCACTGCGTCCACGATCATCCGCTCGGGGCCGGTTGCCCAGAACGCTTTGCCGTCTACCCACAGCTTCGATTTCGCCTCCAACTCCTCCTCTTGGCGGGACCTTTTCTTCCTCGCGCTCAGAGGCTGGTCGTCCTCTTCTTCCCCGCGCGGAGTCTCCTCCCTCCTCTCCTGTTTTCTCCCCGCCTCTTCCACCCTCCTATCTTCTCGCCTTTCTCCAACACCGAGGGCGGCGGCATGGCCAGCGGCGCCCGCTGCTTGCACGGATTGAAGCACATCCCTCGGCGAAGCAGCAGCGATCGTCGGGTTCGACGCCTCCATGTGGCGCGATGGAGACTCACCTATCGGAGGCTTTTCGCCACACTCGGACACAGATGCGATGGTAGATGCAGAACACACGGCCCTCTGCGGCGGAATGTCACCGAACGAAACTCCTTGCGCATGAGCCGTCCCTCCACCGCCGCCGCGCGTGGACGTCAGGACGCCAAGGTTGGTGAGCGCAAGCATATGCTGCCTGCTCATACCGTCACACCCGAGCCCGAGCACAGGCGTCCCTTTAGAAGTGATGTCCATAGGCGTCTCCTCCTCTCCCCCGTCACCCCACATCTCTCCTTCCGACCCGTCTCCCGCGTGGAACTTCTTCGACTTTGGGATGTGGCCCCTTCCTGTTTGCCCTGCACCTGCTTCGCCGGAACCACCGTGTGGACGTTTCTCCTTATGCTGGCCACGTGGCGCCATTCGCTGACGGTCGGATGCGCACGCCCCGTGAACGAAAACAGACTGCCGCAGTGCACGAGAGGAAGTCGCCAGGGATCGTCTTGCGCGGGCGATGTTCGGCTCCCCGCGCAGCACAACGGGAACCCCACTCGTGGCCTTGCGTGCAATCGAGAAGCAAAAGACAGCGAGAAGATAGAGCTCGCGCGAACCTTTATAGTGCTCGCGGTGACATTTCCCCTCCCTTGGCGCGCAGACCCCTTCCGGACGGCCTCTTGCACACCCCTCCACGCGACGACAGCGACGATCACCCATTCCGCATGGGGGGAGACCACCCCAAAAGGCCCTGCCCTGGAGAGCCAGTGACTCAACATTTCGAAGCGCGCGAGGGTACACGGCCATCGCGCACACCATCCCAGTTTCCTAGATTTCTGTCGTCGTCGGAGGACCGGCACCACATTTCGCGACGGGCCAGATCGCGGGCGAATCCACTTCAACGGCTTGACAAACCTCACTCCACCGGCGTCAAGATCTATCCCTTATTGCTCTGTCAATCTCCATCAACGTCGTGCATATCATCCTGTTCGCCTCATTGGACGCCGTGTAATGCCTCTCCGGTATGTCACACTAGTGCTTCTAGGCTTCAACCTCCCTATCGAGGATGTCACACTGCCGCTCCAGGATGCTACATTGCCATTTGCTCGCACCCTCTACCGTGTCCGCCATTAATGCACCGTGTTTGTCCATGACTTCGGCGATGGCGTCGAAGGTCTGCTGCCGCATGTTCTTCCTCTTTGCTGGAGTGCCCGTGCTCCCTGCATTGAACCCCGTCTCCCACGCTAAACCCACATCTTCGTCAATGCCATCTGCCCCCTCTCCACCAGCAGACGACTCTCCACCAACGGCCGCCTGGCGGTGACCATCCATTGCTGGCGGCACTCCTCCGCGTGCTCTCGTGTCTGCCACGTTGTCCGGGTACATGGTCTTGTTATTTTTCGACATGTTGTCGATCTCATTGAAGACTCGCTCATCCATTCGGAAGTTGAAACCCTTGTCCGCTCTCGTTGCAGGAGTTAATGTGAAGAAGTTCTTCCCACCGGACATGTTCTGGTAACGCTGCACCTTCTTGTATTGCTGGAAGACGTTGTCTCACTTCTTCCTTATGTCGTCCGTTGTCCTGTCCACTCCGACCTCCGCCAGCCACTTCTGCAGGTCCAGCAGCTTCCACTCCCTGTTGCGCATGCGGCCGTAGTTGTGTGGCATTCCCTCGAAATGAGCTTGCTGATCCCGCTTCGCTCGAGCGAGCTTCAGCATCTCCTCCACACTCCACACTGGGTGCTTGCCACCCTTGTCGCCAACAGGAGCCCTCGATCCTCGGCCACCACGCGACTCGCCCCTCTTCTGACGTCCGCGTCCTCCCCTCCGCCCACCACGCGCAGCCACGGGTCGGATCTCCAGCCCCTCACCGTCTTCCGCGTCCTCTTCGTAACGGGAATCCGGAGACTCATCCCCACTCGCCCGACGGCTGTCGTCCGCATCCACGTCGCTCCCCACATGAAGCCTGGACACACCGGTGGTTATGTTCTCCGTGGCAGCACGCCACATCTGTAGGCGGCATTTCTCCCACGCCTGCCTCCCGATGTCTTCCGGTGGAGTCCCATCATTGATTGCAGCACTTGCGGTCGCCCTCTGCCACATTGTAGGCGAAGACACCGACGGCCGGATGGGTGTCACTGCCCTTGACGACTCGCCAAGTGGCCCGGCTCCCATGGAACTCGGGACCGGTGGACGACACCCATTCGTCGGCCCACCGACACGGGACGATCCTCCTCCCAACGTTGGCGATCCCACCACCCCTCCGCCGTGGATCAGACCACTTGCACCACTCCCGCTGCACAATCCGAAATCCAAGTCCACAGGCTCTGTGGCGGCGTTGTGGACACCCTCCTCCAGCAATGCGGGTGAACGACTCGCGCGTGGTCCCTGCTTCCCTCTGCTGGCACTGCCTGCTCGTCCACTCCTGCGTAGATCCACTCCCCAGAGGAAGTGTGTGCGACAGATCCTCAACCCAGGCGTCCTCCGGATCCGGCGGTAGCGGCTGTTCGTGCGGTGGAAGATGATTGGACAAGGACGGGTCATATGCGGCGGGTCGATGGCCGGACCGGGGCCGATCAGGAATGGAGAAATCCATCACACGTCTCTGCTGTCCGACGGAGCTGTCCCGCCTGTCCATCGTCGTCTTCCTATCCACTTCTCGTCTCTGTCTACGCCCAGGAGGCCACGTCACGACGAAGGCGCGCAAAAAGACGAGAAGAAGCAGCAGAAGAGATGCTAGTAACAGGAGCGGTAGCCGCCGGAAGATGTCTGCCATGAAACGCACCACGTGTAGATGACCACCCGAACGGACAACCCTCACGCGCGCACGCGAATGGCAACAAACGGGGCGGCCGGCGACAACATCACAACCCGCACATAAAACACATTTCGAAATATTCGACCGTTGGACACGACGCCCGACGAAGTGCAGAAGGAGAACCCCGCCGCTCCGACGCCTGTTGCACCCGGAGCGGGACCCCCGGCCGTGTACGCGCGAACGGTAACACCAGAAGGCCGTTGGTGACCTCCCGCCGGTAGCAAGCCGATATTGTCCGCCCGATGACCACGGACGTCATGTGCACCAGCAAAAACAGAAACTTCCCGTCACGACGCACGCTCCACGACGGCCCGTCTATCGCGGATCCTTGAGCCCAAGGGACCTCTCGAGGACCCCTTGAATCCAAGGACGCAATGGCTGGGGATTCCGAGGAACCCAAGGAAATCTCTTGGGAGCGTTTTCACATTTTTTCAAGTATTTTTGTTTTTTAGGACGCGGTGTAACCATAACTTTTGACATTCCTAAGGATTTGCAAGGAGGGTCTAACGAGGCCCTTTCCCATTGGCAAGCCATTTCTTCCTATTGCTCCGTTGAGCACAAGGAATCTGTGTTCCACGGAGAGGAGAGGGCACACGAGTAGGGAGACGTTACAACAGAGAATCTGGATCGTGGCAGCACCCTATTGGCTGAAGGCCTGAAGCACAACTGTTTTTTTTTCCTTTTTCTTTTCTTTTTTTCTTGTCTGACATCCCTCCTAGGGAATGTCCTTGGGCGGCGTCCCCGAGGACAGGTGGAAAGCCGGCCCAAATTTCCTTTTGAACCATTAGAAAATTTTCCTATTGCCCGAGGATTTCAAATAGGAGTGTCTACAAGCGCCCATAACCTTTAAAAAATGGCGGGCCCCACACCACACCATGTATACATGAAGTCAGCCTCGGAACTTCGTCTTTTCTTGGCTGATTTCAGGTATACAGGGGGCCAAGTGCAAGTCCCACTAGCAGCGTTCAGTTTCCTCAATGTCCAAATCTGGACGTGTTTGTGGAGATGTGCGGTTGAGGAAACTCAATGCGATTTCTGCATATTGCGACCAAACACGTCCACATTCGGGCGTTGCGGAAATTTAACGCTGGTAATGGGACTTGGCCCAGGGTGTATGGACACAAACCAACATGCCAACACACACACAAAAAA